CCAACCTCCTTCTCCTCTGGCAACCACTGTCTACAAGTTTGTTTCTGTTTTGTTTGTTCATTAGTTTTTTTGTTTTTTTAATTCCACATATAAGTGAAACAATATGGAGTTTATCCTCTGTTTCACTTATTTTACTCAGAATACTACCTTGAGATCCAACCATGTTGTTGCAAATGGCAAGATTTCGTCTTTTAAATTAAATTTATTGTGATGACATTGTTTAATAACATTATTTAAGTTTCAAGGGTACAATTCTATAATACATCATTTGTATATTGCATTGTGTTCTCACCACCAAAAGTCTAATCTAGAGTCACCATAAATTAAACGCTCATTACCCTCTTCATCCTTCCCCTCCTTCTCCTCTGGTAACTACCATTCTGTTGTCTGTTTCTCTGAGTCCGTTTTGGTTTTTTCAGATGCTGCTTTCTGTTTTATATCCCACATATAAGTGAAATTATATATTCCTTGTCCTTTCTCTATCTGACTTATTTTACTGAGCATGATACTCTCAAGATCCAAGATGTTGCAAATGGCAGCATTTCATCTTTTCTTATGGCTGAATAGTATTCCATGTATATGTATAGCATATCTTCATTATTCCAAAACCTATCAAAGGACAGTTAGGTTATTGCCATGTCTTGGCTGTCATGAATAATGCTGCCATGATCATTAGGATACATATGTCTTTACAAATAAATGTTTTCAAGTTATTTTGGGGCAGATACTCAAAAGAAGCATTGCCGGGTCATATAGTAACTCTATTCTTAAGTTTTTGAGGAACCTCTGTACTGTTTTCCATTGTGGCCACACCAATTTATATTCCCACCAACAGCGTATCAGGATTTCTTTTCTTCCACATCTTCTCCAACAGTTATTATTTCTGCCTTTTTGATAATAGCCATTCTAACAGGTGCGAGGTGATATTTCATTGTGATTTTAATTTGCATTTCCCTATTAGTTAGTGAAATTGAGCATCTTTTCATATATCTGTCAGCCACGTGTATGTCTTTTTGGGATAAATGTTGGTTCATGTCTTCAGCTCATTTTTTAATTGGATTGTTTTTTATTGTTGTTGTTAAGTTATATGAGTTCTTTATATATTTTAGATATTAACCAATTATCAGAAGTGTTGTTTGCAAGTATCTTCTCCCATTTGATTGGTTGCCATTTTTTTTCTTT